CCCCAAGGTGACATACAACTTTGTCACCCTTTACCTTCACCGCCCGCCTCCTCCCACAAGGTGACGTACAACTTTGTCACCCTTTACCTTCACCGCCCGCCTCCTCCCACAAGGTGACGTACAACTTTGTCACCCTTTACCTTCACCGTCCACCGCCCGCCTCCTCCCTCAAGGTGACGTACAACTTTGTCACCCTATACCTTCACCGTCCACTGCCTGTCCCCTCCCAAGCTCAATATGCATGCCTCGTATCAATATTAAGCCCGAGTGTCATGATTACATTCCGCTAAATCAATGCATATTGTGACAAATTTGTGTGTTGCATACGATGGCATAATACGGTGGCATCAGGGAATAATATAGTGGCATCTCGTCATAATACGGTGGCATCTCGGCATAATATAGTGACAGCATGGCATAATACGTAGGCATCACGGAATAATATAGTGGCATCATGGCATAATACGGTGGCATCATGGCATAATACGGTGGCATCATGGCATAATACGGCGACATCATAGCATAATACGGTGGCATCATGGCATATTATTTGTGCAGGCGGCGCCAGGAGCTGAGCCCCAGACAAGCCGCAGCGGACAAGTCATCAAGCCAAATAAATTCCTGGACGGCGAAGGTGGGACCCACACCCCACACTCCCCCGCCACCACTACCACCACACCCCACACTCCTCTGCCGCCGCCACCACCACCACCACATGCTGGTCATTACATCGTTCAGTGTATCATCGGAGGGAGCGCCGACCCCCTCAACAGCATCCTGAGAGTCCCTAAGGAGGGAATGAGTAAGTGAGTATATGTGCCAACTAACCTGCTATACCTTCACGTTACGAGCTGAGAGTAGCATAAAGCTCTCAGCCATGAGCAGTTAGCAGTACAAGCTCTCAGCCATGAGCAGTGAGCAGCACAAAGCTCTCAGCCATGAGCAGTGAGCAGCACAAAGCTCTCAGCCATGAGCAGTGAGCAGCACATGGCATATGCCGTGGCATAACTCAACGGAATCGCTGACCTCGCGACGCCAGCATTTAAAAATATTTCAATAACTGCGGAGTCTGAGGCTGAAAGCATCAGGTTGATGACATCCTGAGTCTCTTGGCTGAATGCGTCAAACTTGTATTGATTTACACATTTTATATTTAATTAATGTCATTGGCCGTATTGCCAAGTTTCAAATTATGTTATCAATTATCCCGCTTCATATAGTGTGCTTCTCCCGCTCCATCCCTCATCCTCCCCCATCCCCCTGCTTACTAACCACTCCCCCCATGCCACACTGCTGCTCCTACACCTCCTACTTGCTATTGTATTTACCCTCTTACTTACTATTGTATTTGCCCTCATGCTTTTGTATATACNTGGGGCCAGAGTGGGGCGGTAGTAACAGAGTGGGCGGTTGTTACAGAGTGGTGGGGCCAGAGGCGGTGCAGAGACCAGAGTGCAGCTGCCAGAGAATGTGAGTTTAAATAATATTTATTATTTAAGAAAGAATTGAAATAATTTGTTCTCTTACAGGAGACTTAGTTCAGGACTTGGGAAAATTAACTCGTTAGCAGATGCCTGTTTTTGCTGAAGGTTATTAGACCGTGGTTATTATTTTACATGATTAGTATATATGGTTATTGAAGGTACATTACTGAACCATGGTTATTAATTTAAATAATTAGTACGTATAAATGGTTATTGAAGGTACATTACCTGTCTCTTATACACATCTAGATGTGTATAAGAGACAGGCATAATACGGTGGCATCATGGCATAATACGGTGNTATGAGTACCTGAATGAATGTAATACAATAGATGAATGTATGAGTACCTGGATGAATGTAATACAATAGATGAATGTATGAGTACATGAATGAATGTAATACAATAGATGAATGTATGAGTACCTGAATGAATGTAATACAATAGATGAATGTATGAGTACCTGGATGAATGTAATACAATAGATGAATGTATGAGTACATGAATGAATGTAATACAATAGATGAATGTATGAGTACCTGAATGAATGTAATACAATAGATGAATGTATGAGTACCTGGATGAATGTAATACAATAGATGAATGTATGAGTACATGAATGAATGTAATACAATAGATGAATGTATGAGTACCTGAATGAATGTAATACAATAGATGAATGTATGAGTACCTGGATGAATGTAATACAATAGATGAATGTATGAGTACATGAATGAATGTAATACAATAGATGAATGTATGAGTACCTGAATGAATGTAATACAATAGATGAATGTATGAGTACCTGGATGAATGTAATACAATAGATGAATGTATGAGTACATGAATGAATGTAATACAATAGATGAATGTATGAGTACCTGAATGAATGTAATACAATAGATGAATGTATGAGTACCTGGATGAATGTAATACAATAGATGAATGTATGAGTACATGAATGAATGTAATACAATAGATGAATGTATGAGTACCTGAATGAATGTAATACAATAGATGAATGTATGAGTACCTGGATGAATGTAATACAATAGATGAATGTATGAGTACATGAATGAATGTAATACAATAGATGAATGTATGAGTACCTGAATGAATGTAATACAATAGATGAATGTATGAGTACCTGGATGAATGTAATACAATAGATGAATGTATGAGTGCATGAATAAGGCAATATTGTCACCAGACGTTCACCACAATCTTTAATCTTGTCAGAAGTTCCATTGCACTTGCGATGTCTTCCATTAAAACTTCGGTTAACACGAAAAAAACTTGACTTTTATTTCAGTAAAGGAAGATTTGAAAACAATACGTTGAATAAAATAGCACGAGAATCATTAAAAACAATCATCAACACATTAAAATCATTGAAAACAATACAACCAGCACGAGAATCATTAAACCGTTTGATGAAGCGTTTATAGCACAGCCACACAAACAATTACTAAATAATTAGTAATTGTTTCCGACAAATTGTTACTAAGGCGGCTACGCTAGTGGTGGTTTTTGGTTTGCACGTGAGATAAAAATGATTTGCACGTGAGATAAAAATGAACAGAGATAATAGTGAACGATGTTCTATGCACAAGTCTATGCATGAATGTATGAGTACATGAATAAGGCAATGAATGAACTGCTCAATACATTATGAAGTCAATGCATGAATGTATGAGTACATGAATAAGGCAATGAATGAACTGCCCAATACATTATGAAGTCTATGCATGAATGTATGAGTTGCCGAGAGCATAAATGAATGAAGTCGTGTACATGAATGAGTCTATGGACGAATGTATGAGTAAGAGATGCCCTGAGGGATGAATGAAGCCCAAGATGAATACATGAATGAATGCATGCGAATCATTAAACTATTGTTTGATGACGTAACTGATGTTGGAGAGAAGTTGATGCTGTATGGAACACAGTGAGCTGATGAAGGAAGTATTGTATTAATATGTATAAATCATTTGATGAAGCTGTATGGCGGTGTATGAATGGCTCAATTTGTGTTAATGTGTGTTTTGTGTTAATGTGTGTTAATATGTGTGTGTGTTGCAGGAGGTGAAGCAGGCGGCGGCAGACGGAGCAGGCAGGCTGCAGGCGGCAGCTGCTGAGGAGGCCAGAGGCTGTCTGGAGACCTGCAAGTCTAAGTAGGTGCTAAGCAGGGCTAAGTAGGTGCCAAGCAGGGTTAAGTAGGTGCCAAGCAGGGCTAAGTAGGTGCCAAGCAGGGCTAAGTAGGTGTCAAGTAGGGCTAGCTAAGTAGGTGCCATGCAGGGGTAAGTAGTCATGAATAAGGCAATAGATGAATGTATGAGTACATGAATAAGGCAATAGATGAATGTATGAGTACATGAATAAGGCAATAGATTGTCACCAGACGTTCACCACAACCTTCAATCTTGTCAGAAGTTCCATTGCACTTGCGATGTCTTCCATTAAAACTTTGGTTAACACGGAAAAAACTCAACTTTTATTGCAGTAAAGGAAGATTTAAAAGCAATACGTTGGATAAAATAGTACAACCAGCATGAGAATCATTAAACCCTTTGATGAAGCGTTTGTAGCACAGCCACACAAACAATTACTAAATAATTAGTAATTGTTTCCGACAAATTGTTACTAAGGCGGCTACGCTAGAGGTGGTTTTTGGTTTGCACGTGAGATAAAAATGATTTGCACGTGAGATAAAAATGAACAGAGATAATAGTGAACGATGTTCTATGCACAAGTCTATGCATGAATGTATGAGTACATGAATAAGGCAATGAATGAACTGCCCAATACATTATGAAGTCAATGCGTGAATGTATGAGTTGCCGAGAGCATAAATGAATGAAGTCGTGTACATGAATGAGTCCATGGACGAATGTATGAGTAAGAGAGACCTTGAGGGATGAATGAAGCCCAAGATGAATACATGAATGAATGCATGCGAATCATTAAACTATTATTTGATGACGTAACCGATGTATGTGAGAAGTTGATGCTGTATGGAACACAGTGAGCTGATGAGGGAAGTATTGTATAATATGTATAAATCATTTGATGAAGCTGTATGGCGGTGAATGAATGGCTGAATTTGTGTTAATGTGTGTTTTGTGTTAGTTTGTGTTGATATGTGCCCGTGTTGCAGGAGGTGAAGCAGGCGGCGGCAGACGGAGCAGGCAGGCTGCAGGCGGCAGCTGATGAGGAGGCCAGAGGCTGCCTGGAGACCTGCAAGTCTAAGTAGGTGCTAAGTAGGGCTAAGTAGGTGCCAAGCAGGGCTAAGTAGGTGCCAAGCAGGGCTAAGTAGGTGCCAAGCAGGGCTAAGTAGGTGCCAAGTAGGTGCCAAGCAGGGCTAAGTAGGTGCCAAGCAGGGCTAAGTAGGTGCCAAGCAGGGCTAAGTAGGTGCCAAGCAGGGCTAAGTAGGTGCCAAGCAGGGCTAAGTAGGTGTCAAGCAGGGCTAAATAGGGGCCAAGCAGGGCCAAGAAATTGCCAAGCAGTGCTAAGTAGGTGGTAAGCAGGGCTAAGTAGGTGCCAAGCAGAGCCAAGAAGGTTCCAAGCAGGGCTAAGTAGGCGCTCCTTAACGCTATTGAGGCTAAGTAGGTATCATTAAGTCTTAAGTAGGAGTAGAACATCCTGGCTACCTGCAAGTAGGAGGGAAGGCGAGACCGCCTGCTGGACTATGACCATCATTATGACCATTACTGCCATGAGCAGGACGCTGGACATGGAGGCCCGCCTGCTGGACTATGACCATCATTATGACCATTACTGCCATGAGCAGGACGCTGGACATGGAGGCCCGCCTGCTGGACTATGACCNGTCACTAGTTGTTATTTTTTCCACTAGTTGTTGTTGTCACTAGTTGTTATTTTTTCCACTAGTAGTTGTTGTTGTTGTCACTAGTTGCTGTTCGTGCTGCCGGAGGCTGGTGGTGGTGGCGGGGACGGTGGCGGGCGGTGGGACGCGCTGTTCGCTGAGAAAGTGCGTCACTTTGACGCAGTTTGCAAAGAACGCGGCATCTGCGACGACACCAAGATAGGATTGTGGCGGGACCCGACGCACCCATAGCGGCGGTACGGCGGGTAGGTGGTGGCGGGACGGCGGGTAGGTAGTGGCGGGACCCGACGCACCCATAGCGGCGGGACGGCGGGTAGATGGTGACGGGACCGTAGGTAGGTAGTGGCGGGGCCTGGCCCACCCATAGCGGCGGGACGGCGGGTAGGTGGCGGCGGGACCGTAGGTAGGTAGCGGCGGGACCTGTCCCACCCATAGCGGCGGGACGGCGGGTAGGTGGCGACGGGACCGTAGGTAGGTAGTGGCGGGGCCTGGCCCACCCATAGCGGCGGGACGGCGGGTAGGTGGCGGCGGGACCGTAGGTAGGTAGCGGCGGGACCTGTCCCACCCATAGCGGCGGGACGGCGGGTAGGTGGTGGCGGATGAGACGAAGGGTCAATAGTGGCGGGTGAGGCGGTGGTCCGTAGCAGCGGCGGGTGGCGGGTGTGGCGGTGAAGGCGCGTCCTGCCATTGTATTAGTTTATGTTCGTTGTTAATTACGTAAATTATTAATTAGTTTATATATGTTACCTCTATGCCTTTATTACGAATTATACTCGTTATGTTCGCTACATTCATCAGTAAATGCCCGGCTAATGCATGAAACCATAATTTTATGTATTAATCATAATCAGTATTAATCATATTCATATATTTGATGACTTACAATATATAATTGAGATATAAACGCCTGCTTAACTTTTGATTACGACACTGATTTATTCTCCTGTTGAATATTTGTAAAATTATGTGTATTTGTTATCTTTATTAGCAATCGTATATGATCGCTTAGATAATAAAGCTCTTGTATTGTAATGTTCACAGTCCAGTACCTAGATCATGGGAATAATGTGGAATGATGGTAGTTTTATGTCATGATGTAAGATGATGTGGAATGATGTAGGTGATGTGATGTAAGGTGATGTTGGGTGATGTATGATGATGTAAGGTGATGTGGGATGATGTGTAGCTCATTGGCCGCCAGTATCACTGCAACGTCAGACACAACAGCTCTGATCAACTTTATCCTTCATTTTGATGTTATTTATCATTGAGTCGAAGAATATCTTTCATTCTCAGACTTTGCTAGTCAATTAACTGTAAAAATATTTTGCTTTTTGTTGGGTCATTCAAAAGGACGTGTAGTAAAGTTTCGTTTTTTTTTTGTGATGATGAATTCAAATTTTTTTGCGAGTTACATCCCTTCCTGAAAAATTACTTTTTCCCTCTGTAAAGCTTTATCCAAAAATTTTTCATCTGATTGCAATTCAAAAATTTGATAGTTCATTGTTCTCTGCGTAGAATTTATCGGAAAATATTAAAGTAGATTGTTAGTTTGCAGTCTGTGACACGCTCTCTTGTGTCTGTTGCAGAGCATACTGGTGGCCTTTAATGAGAGGGTGAGGGACAGGAGGAGGCTTAAGTTACAGAGGCAACAACTACTTGTACAACTACAACAACAGCAGCAACAACAACAACAGCAGCAACAACAACAGCAGCAGCAGCAACATCTACAGCAACAACAACGAGTAGGACAACAACAGGAACAGTTTGAGGTGCAAAACCCGCAGCAACAACAAGTAGAAGAACAACAACTACTATTAGAACAACAACGGTTTAAGGGACATCAATTAGAAGAACAACAGCGGCAGCCACTAAAAGAGCAACACAAACACAACCAAACAACAGGACTAACAGGAATGTCTGTTGGACGCGTTACTCTAGCAGCGGAAATAACAGCGCCAACCACTAGCCCTGTGTGGGCGTCTCTGACCCCGGGGGGCTCTGTGAACCCTGTGAGGTGTGGGGTCCCTGGAGAGGTGGCGACTCCTGAGGGACCTGTGGTCTCTGGGGGAGGAGCAAGGGTCCCTGGGGGAGGACCTGTGGTCTCTGGGGGAGAAGCAAGGGTCTCTGGGGGAGGACCTGTGGTCTCTGGAGGACCTATGACTGACACTGAAGAGAACCAGGACGACAGCCTTGCAGAGAGCAGTGTGGCGTGTGACACCACGCAAGAATACGATGATATTGTTGATGAAAATCTTGCCGGCAGTGGCGGTATTGTTGATGGAAATCATACTGTCAGTGGTGGTATTGCTGATAAAAATGTTGCTGCGTATTCTAGCAAAGTTCTGCCTTCACTTGGTGCTGAAGAAGTTGGGGAGAGCGAGCGTGGGGAGGGAGATGAGGAGGTGAAGGATGATAAGAAAATTATTGTGAAGCATGATAAGGAAATTACAGTGAAAAATGATGATGAAATATTAGTGAAAAATTCTGCGGAAATATCAGCTAACAATGATCAGGCAATGATAGCAAATGATGATGAAGAAAAATTAGTAAGGAATGACGAAGAAACAACAGCGATGAATGGTGAAGAAACACCCGTTAAGAATGATGAATTATCAGTGAATGATGATAACAAAATATCAGTAAAGCTTGATAATGATATAGTGACGAAGGATGATGAAGAAAAGGTGTTGGTGGGAAGTGCAGCGTTTGTGTGTAGACCTGTTGATGTTGGTGCATCAACAGGGACAGCATTTGAAACAGACGAGCTGGAGATCTTGTCGGCGCTACAGTCAACAGTCGCTGATATCAACAAAACTGTTGAAACAGAGCCTGGAATTGTTGATTTGGAAAGAAGCGCAATAGATACGCAAATGACAGGAATTGTGCCTGAATTGCTAATGATCTCTTCTGAAGAAATTGAGGAAATTGTGCCTGTAGTTATGCCTATGACGGACAGAGATGGAGCAGTTGGTGCAGAGACTGAGACCGAAGCTTTTGCAGAGGCTATGGCAGAACCTGGTGCAGAGGCTATGGCAGAACCTGGTGCAGAGGCTATGGCAGAACCTGGTGCAGAGGCTATGGCAGAACCTGGTGCAGAGGCTATGGCAGAACCTGGTGCAGAGGCTATGGCAGAACCTGGTGCAGAGGCTATGGCAGAACCTGGTGCAGAGGCTATGGCAGAACCTGGTGCAGAGGCTATGGCAGAACCTGGTGCAGAGGCTATGGCAGAACCTGGTGCAGAGGCTATGGCAGAACCTGGTGCAGAGGCTATGGCAGAACCTGGTGCAGAGGCTATGGCAGAACCTGGTGCAGAGGCTATGGCAGAACCTGGTGCAGAGGCTATGGCAGAACCTGGTGCAGAGGCTATGGCAGAACCTGGTGCAGAGGCTATGGCAGAACCTGGTGCAGAGGCTATGGCAGAACCTGGTGCAGAGGCTATGGCAGAACCTGGTGCAGAGGCTATGGCAGAACCTGGTGCAGAGGCTATGGCAGAACCTGGTGCAGAGGCTATGGCAGAACCTGGTGCAGAGGCTATGGCAGAACCTGGTGCAGAGGCTATCCCCAAGGATGGTAAAGAGAGCACTGTCAAAGTAATGGATGCTGCAGCTGATGCCAACATAACGGACGCTGCAGCTGATGCCAACATAACGGACACTGCAGCTGATGCCAATATAATGGACACTGCAGCTGATGCCAACATAACGGACACTGCAGCTGATGCCAACATAACGGACACTGCAGCTGATGCCAAGATAACGGACACTGCAGCTGATGCCAATATAATGGACACTGCAGCTGATGCCAATATAATGGACACGGCAGCTGATGCCAAACTAACGGATGTTGCGGCTGATGCCAAAATAATGGGCGCTGGAGCTGATGCCGGAACAACAAACCACGCAATTGGTTCCTGCGTCAAAACGGCTGGTTTTCTTGTTGAAGCAGCCACAACTACTAGTGGTCTTGCTACTTCTGTTAGTTCTAAAGCCACATCCACTAGTGGACTTGACACACCGTCAAGTCCACTGTATACACGCCAGAGCAGTCCCAGCACCCATGACTCAAAAGGACAAGCGCCAACTTATCACCCATGTTCTGATGATGCACCATCTGCTGACCTCTCTGGTCCAAATGGTGCCGGAACCAGTCCCTCTGGAGCCTTTTCTTGCTCCAATTCTCTGTCTCCCACTTCTGGTGGCCACATCAAGACCTGTGGAACAACCACTGACTCCTCAGGGGTTCCATATTTACCTGTGCCTACCGTAAGTTCTTCCGATGGAGACTCGCCAGAAGAAAAGGTGGTGGAGTTGAGCGACTCGAATGTAGGGTCAACCAGCATCTGCAAAGGGGGGCCGAGTGTTGATGAACCAGGCAGTGTGATCTACACTCAGAAAAATTGTGGGTCTGATACAGGAATACGGCAAAAGTTATCATCTGTTGCCAATTTAAAAGAAGATGAGAGTTCTGCTAGTGTAGGGAAAGAACTAGGTTCTTGCAGTGATGATGCAAAAACTTCGCATGCAACTTCTTCTCCCGTATCGGTGATGGTAAAACCCACAGCCTTAGCCACCGTCACTAAGCATCACAGATCCTCGAGTGACGTGACATTCAAGGCCGGTCTCAAGAACCGCCCCACCTCCACTGCAGTCAAAGTCCTCTCACTCAAGATAAAAGATCAGACTTTGAACGCCGGCAACTCCAGCATCCCTGGGAAATTTTTTTCGAACACTAAAGTGCCCAATTCTGGTCTGAGGAATGAGGTAGAGAGTCTGCGTCGGGCTTCGAGTGGCGTGGTTGATGAAAATGAGCAAACTCTTGCCACGAAAGTGGATGAAAATGAGCAAATTCTTGCCTCAAAAGTGGATGGAAATGAGAAGATTCTTACCACAAAAGTGGATGAAAATGAAGAAATTCTTGCAACGAAAGTGAATGAAAATGAACCAATTGTTACCATAAAAACGGATAAAAATGAACCAATTCTTACCACGAAAGTTGATGAAAATGAACAAATTCTTGCCACAAATGTGGATGAAAATGAAGATGGAGTCATGCCGCCATCTTGCGGGATCACCAAGATCCCAAGACGGCTCAGGAATCCTTATGTCAGAAGGAGGAAGCGAAGGAGAGGTCGCTGGAGATCTGCTCGCCGGCCCTCAGGATCTGATGAACAGCAAGGAACAAAACCGAATGTTCCAGGCTCTCAAACACCTGGACACTCACGCGGCTTACAGGAAGATGTGAAGTGTTCTTCAGAACCTCCTGCGGCAGGCGAGTTTAGTGACATTCCGCCTGGCATTGCTAGGTGTGCCACGTCGTCTGTCGTGACAGAGGTAGCACTACCATCTGTCATTAATGATACAGCATCCCCGTCTATAAGAAATGATGCAGCACAGTCTATAAAAAGTGATGAAACTTCATCACCCGCCGGCCACCCGACGCGGAAACACGACGAAGTAAAAGAGCCTCAGCGCCAGGCTAGACGACAGAGCAGCCTCAAGGCCCGAGCTAGGCTTAGCGACGCCTTGCTAAGCCAAAAAGCTAAGACCAAGCAAGCTCTGGCGACCCCTGAAGCTGTTGCGCCTGTCCAGAGTGAGGGACGAACAACTCCTCGGGGTCTTGGTGAGGGTTCAGCCATGGCTGTGGTGGCTAATACGTCGGCCAAGCGTCGTAGATCCTCAATTGGGGATAGCCTTGAATCTGATTTAGAGAAGAAGTCTAAGTTACGGCACTCGCACGCGATGTCTTCTCGCAGCAAAGTCGCTGAACCAGAAATGCGAGGCGCCAGTCTCATACAGAAGGCTTACTCGTATACCTCCCAACCCAACGTTGACAATTCAATACCTGTTTCAGCCTCATCGCCTGCGGTTTCATCTATGAATATTTCAGCTTCAGCCAAAACTTCAGACGAAACTGTAACGTCATCCTCTACGTTGGAAGAAACCATGTTCAAACTCCTGAACTCAAGTTCGGGTAACCTGCAAGAAGTTTTCTCGCTAATAGAGAGCTCACCGAACCTGATGCCTGCGCTACATGAACGCCTGAACGTCGTGCAGCAGATGGTCAATAAGATGAATAATTACCATGAAACTATACACAAGAAACGTCTCGGTCCTAGCACTGGTTTGGATTGTAATTCAAAATCTAGATCAACCCAAACTAGCGTATCAACGTCTTCTCGATCCTGCCAAACCGATACCATGTCTACCTCAAAGATCTCTTCTACCTCCGTGGTATCTACATCTACCTCTGTATCATCAAAGGTTTCTACCAGGTCCATGTACACCCAAAGTTCCTCCCCAGCATCAGTGCCCCACCTACCCACCCGTAAGCTGGTCCCCAGCAGGAGGTCTCACCCCGGGGAGAGTGTGCCAGTGTACCAGCGATGTGTAGAGTGTCTTCGTAACGGCGTGTATGACATCACATCGTGCGTGTATTGTGACACGTGTGATGTGCCGCTGTGTGTGGTGCCTTGTTTCAGGGCGTATCACGTGCTGGGCAAACGCCACTGAAGTGCTCAAGTGTTCGGGATGAAGCAAAAACATTGTGAAAGTCAGAAGAAGTGTCAGGAATAAGGCCTAAATATTGTGGAAGTCGGATAAAGTGTTAGGGTCGAAATTAAAGTATCAAGTGTCGGGGCTGAAGGCAAGACGTCGCAAAAGTCAATTTTAGTGTCGGGACTGGAGTCAAAATATCGCTGAAAGAAATTTTGCGTCAGGCATGAAGTCAAAACATCAAATAAGGCTGATAAAGCTTGCTGGCTGAAGTTGAAACTTTGCTGAAGTCAATTTAAGTGTCCGGGATGTTGCCATCGATTTTGATTTTCTAGTAATAAGTTGAACTTTTTTAATTCTTCAGAGGAAAATATTGTGTTTTATTCAAATAATAGAGCCTGTCTTTAATGTGTTAATTGATGACTTTAACTTGTTAATTAATGGAGCGTGCCACTAATGTGTCATTAGTGCCGGCAAACGGAGCTACTTGAGCCTGACTCATTCATGTTCGAATTAATGCTATTGAAACTTCTCCGTTGTAGTGTCTGTTTCTTCTCATAGAAATTCTGCATAATGTAACTTGTACAATATCATATAACCAAGGATCTCTGAGCACACACAGAACAATAAGTGAGAGACTTTTCACCCAAGTGTGTTAATATTTTCACAGTGTCGAGCTTATTATGTATATTCTGTTTAGAATGTATTAGGAGTTGTTCACTTTACACAGGAAATCTTGTATCTTGTATTACCTCGCCTCGTTTTGTATAGTTTGTCGCACATTGTCAACAATTGTCGCTGTATACATCATTCAATTATTGATTGATTAACGATATAAATCTGTAATTTGCTGTAGTGTTTATTGTTATTCTGAATAATTAATATAATTTGGTGCGATAGTCTCTACAGTTGTCGCTCCTGAAATTCGCTCAATTGTATCGCTTCGTTTAGATGGCAATAAACTGCATTACTGCTGGGCTTTACCTTTGCTGTGTCTTTTGCTGTACCTTTGCTCTGTTCCACCGGTTTTTTGCTGTGCTGCGTTAAAGAAGTAAGTAACGACGTACTACGTTAAATGTCACTCTCTGCCCGTATTGTTACCCGTATGCTAGTATTGTTAATTTGTTACCAGTATATACAGAGCAGTACGGTATATATACTGGTCTATAGCAGAGTTACATTGTAGCTCAGTGGTGTCGGTACCGAGGTGAGAGGAGCGAGTCGTGGGTTCGAGCCTCGGGAAGCTCAGTTCATTTATCAGTGACGGTGACGAGTGGCGCTTGGTAGCTGGTAAAGGTGGTGCATCAGCATTGCCTTGAGTTTTGTGTCCCTAAACAAACTCTGGGGGACCTTAATGTCTTGAGCAGAGTATAGGTATTATATTGTTATACGGTATATTGTTGGGACTAGGAATAATACAAAGACTATTTCTTGGAGTGAATACCAGTAACAGAGTATCTACCAAAGATGCTAGTAATCCAGTATTGACAGTAGTAATTACACTAGCAGCCATGCAATTATTAAGACGCTAATTTCATCGCAAATATTAAGAATTTCATGAAAGAATTGTTTGTTAGACGTGGACTGAGGCGCAAATATTAAGAGTTTGATTAAATTATTTGTATTGATTTTGAAATGTTATTGCAGGCGGCAGTTCAGGGCGGCGGTAACAACAGCAACAACAACAACAGCGACAAGCCTGCAGCTTCTCAAGGTAAGGACCTGCATGTGTACCTGCTCCTGCAGGATGCTGTGTACCTGCACCTGCAGGAGGCTGTGTACCTGCTGCGCCGCTGCTGTGCCACATCTCACCAGGGGCGCTGCTGCTGTGCCACATCTCACCAGGGGCGCCGCTGCTGTGCCACATCTCACCAGGGGCGTCGAGCCCTGTCCATTATCGTTGGATTTTACGCCACAAATTATCCGGGAAAAGTAGTCTCGCTCACCAGCGTCTGCACATTGTAGGAACCGCCGCTGTAACAATAAACTGACTCCATTTTCCGCCAATACCGAACTTGTATCGCTATGCTACTTCCTTTCCTAGACGAATTCCTCCGCCTGAAGATAAACAATTTCAATATAACTTCAAATGTGACAAGTTATTGTCAAGGAATTACAAGTAAATTTAATTTAAATCATTTATTGTAATGACGAAGTTTTCTTATATAGTTTCGTGACATAAGTTCTGTTCGTGTAGGTAGTTCTTATGAGAGGACCTTGAGGTTCTGCCGCCTCGAGTGTATGTGCAAAGTGTCAGCATGGATATCCTTAAGTATACCTTTTTTTCATTGTACGTCTTGTCATGCCCTCAGTGTCTTAACTTCTGATATTTTCATCTACCGTTACATTGAAATCTTATAAAGTTGATATTTAGGAAGACCATTGTTCAATCGATCCTAGTTCATTTATACGTCTTGCTTAAGTTTCCTACTCTACTATGCTTTGATCGAACAAATTAGAAATTTTATGCCATTAATATTGTTCAGAGTGGGTTGATTTCTGACAATACAATGGGACACTCTATTATTATATTGAGTGCGCGATGGTTTACCCTAATTTATTGGTTATATGATTATGAGGAGGTAAAATCATAATGATTATGCGAAAGTAAAATAATGATTATGAGAAGGTAAAATAATGATTATGAGAAGGTAAAATCCTAAAATAACCTCGTAGTCATTGCTCCTGTCCGGGCGTCATATCAGTTCACAGTAACGTATTCCTACAGAGTCGTAGTGTAGTGTGTATATGGTCGGTCATTGCCAGCATCATGCAAACAATTGGAGATTGTAAAGCCAAGGCGCTGACGATCTCAGCAGGCAAGCTGTTACAACGTTACAATGCTGCAAGCTGTTACAACGTTACAATGCTGCAAGCTGTTACAACGTTACAATGCTGCAAGCTGTTACAACGTTTGACTGCTCAGGTCCAATAAAGCTTCCGAGGTGTTTGTCCACTCTGCACGTTTTTTTTCAAATCGTTGCCCTCCTTTAATTTGTTGAGACACCTGGGAAGGAATGGAGTCTGAATTAGCTTTATAGATTCCATGAGTGAACTTTAGAGTTCTTATGACTTCCTGTAGCCCTGAACTTCACGTTACTTCTGAGTTGGCAACCTCAACTACCTATGAAGATCTTCCTATTCCAGCTCCCTAAACCGTGGCACCCCTCAGGAGGACTTCTGACGCGTGTCTGTGCTCGTCAGAAGTCCTATGGGAGTTCGCGCTCCTAGGGGGATTGTTCCTGAGCGCCCCACCGCTGAGCTCGCGGTGTCTGACTGCAGGTCTCAGTTGTGGGGTTAAGTTATTATGTAGGTAGGATTCCTTACATTTCCCTTCTCTGTCTCTCTCGTGCGGGAGGCCAACGTCCTGTGTAAGCGACCTCTTGTTCGAGTGTCTTCGTTTCTGTTGCTTTTCACCTGTCCCTCCTTGTCACTTTGTCTCTTTGAGATGCTAACGCTGCTTCCTTCGAGCCAGCTTCAGCGGGCTGGACAATTGTGACCTTCCGCCCCTTGTGGGATGAACAATTTAAGACTAAATAATTGAGACCTTCCGGCTCGCTGGTGATGTTATCGTTTGACCTCCGGTGCGAAATAGCTTGATAGCTGAAGCGCTAGTAAACCATTCCAACTTACTTTTTTTCAAATTGTTGCCGACTTTTATTTGTGTTGAGACACCGGGTAGAAATGGTGTCTGAATTAACTTCATAGGTTCCATGAGTGAACTTTAGAGTTCTTATGACTTACTGTAACCCTGAACTTCACGTTACTTCTGAGTTGGCAACCTCAACTACCTATGAAGATCTCCCTACTCCAGCTCCCTCAACCGTCGCACCTCGAGTTTGGCTCTCCGTTATACTTTCTCATCAAGATCTATTGAGGATGGATGACTGCTTAGAGTTAGGAGTACTAAATTTCAACAATTAGTTGTGGGTTCGATACCAGCAGCCAACTTAGAAGCTCTGCGATGCAGGGAATCGACGGCAGGAAATCATTTTTCGAGTTGAGAGAGACCCATTAAGTTGCCGTGGCGTCAGTGTCAACTGTCTTTTCTCTGACATCCGTTGATTAATTTATAATTAGATGAACTATGAAAATTATCTCTTAGTTCCGATAGATACTTATTATTTTCCATAAGCTATAGCAGTATATAGGGTGAATGGCAACATATTATTAAATAACGATAAGATTATAGTTTGAGGGGGTATTACAGAAGTTTAGAAGGTATAGTTGACGACACGACCGCGAGTAAGACAAGCGAGTGTCGGAGCCGATAGACGTGGTGGATGAGTTAAGGTTAGATTGCGATGGACTGCAGCTTACAGGTGTTGGTTTGTGACTGACTGGAGGTAAGCTTGAAGAGCTTATATAGGCGCTTACTTCAATGACGTCACGGGAGGGGATGCTACTGACAGCATGGGTATGAAGTAAGTCGCCTGACGCAGGTGAATTTTTCTATGAAAAAGAGCCTGTCTCCAGGTATTTGTAAGACAATCTTACAACTCCGAGAGTTGGGTTGGTTTAGTAGACTACCGTTTCGCTGTGTGAAAAAATGACTAAGAACAGTAAAATGGACTTCGGTACACCCTGATCCTTGTCATATATTGTACGCATAGACTTGTACATACCATTGCTCTGTTCGTGGTTACCGCTGATCAGGTGCATTACATATCACTTCTCAGCTTGGAAGCGGAGCTGTCATACATATGAACACCTAATTAGGCTGTGTACATCCATATTTAGACTGACTTTGTAAGAGGAAATTCACGAAAATTTCGTAGACACAAATGCGCATGTGTCCCTTAACAATCCTTGGCACGTGCTGAAAGAAGATTCAACGTTGCAGCACAGTACCTTAATCATCTAGTTTGAGACGTTTGTCCAACATAGCGGTAAATAATTTATTTTAATTCTTCTACGGAGGTGACGCATCCGATAACGAACATTACTTCAAATGCTGTGTTGTTGAACCTAGAGTGAGCCATGTTATGGGTGAAGAACGCTGTCGAAAGCATAGCCAAAGCTAAGAATAACTCAGTGTCAGCTGATGGGCAAATGACCATCTGCTTATGTAGTTATGAACCCATGTTTACAATCAATGAAGTCACGCTCATAAAATAATGATGTTACTACTTACTAGTAATATCACAGTATAAGCGTTTACGCTTCTGTTCTGTCGTTGATCCTAACCACCGCAAATGCTTCACAGCTGGCTGAAGCTCGGGCCCGTAACCCGCTACTGCAACCTCTGTGATAGTCTCGACTTGTTGGCTTCCTGCAGTTACTTCAGTAGTGCTTTCTTAGTTATTTCCTTAAACTTCTTACTGGCGTGCAGACTGACATGCTTATAGATGTCATTGTCAGCTTTGAACTCTGTTGTGACACTCGAAAATCTGCTTCGAAAGCTACGGCAGGTCCACGGTTGATATACTAAATAGCACCTTAGATGATTTCCGCAAACTCGATAATTGAGCAAATTGCCAAAGTCAAATAAATTCAATAAAATTATATCATTTCTATTTTCGTTCGATTCATGTGGAGCATTTTCATACTTTAATGCGTGTGCAGAAGCAGATTGTGTTGCTTCTCCTGTTTCCATGGAAACCAGTTTGCTGCACCATTTGCAAGATGCTGTTAATTTCTTTCAGACTTGTATAGGCTTGAAGTAAGTAATTCTATGAGCAAATTGTTTATTTATTGTAACCTTGAGGTGAAATTATGGATGCGCAATTATTATGCGGACGACTCGGATCTATTGTTTACTTTTGAAATATTTTATCATTGTCTTATCAGCTTTGCCGTGATCGTAACCGATTATAATCGAAGGACTTCATCGCAAGCCTCAAATACTGAAGAAAACCTGAAAGATGGCTCAAAAATTTGAAGTATCAGGATTAGATGAGTACAAAGAGAAGCTCGAGTCGCTAAGCTCATCAGGGAAGACGATAATTGCCATGTTTTCTGGCGGCAAGGACCCAGCAACTGGCCAGAGTTGGTGCCCTGACTGCGTGGTCGCGCAGCCTGTTGTGGACAAGGCCGTGTCGCAAGCAAGTGAGGACTTCATCTACGTCTACTGCAGCGTGGGTGGCAGGGACTTTTGGAAAGACAAGAACTGCGTCTTCAGGACTGACCCCAGCTTGAAGTTGAAGTCTGTACCAACCCTCATTAAAGTTGGCACCCCTCAGAGACTGGAAGAAGCTCAGTGTGCAAATCCTAAACTTGTTGAAATGTTGTTTGAAGATTGAAGCTTCTAATGGAAAACATTTACCTTGTCAAAGTAATCAATTTTGATTTATGTTTACTTTGTTATGCATTCTTTAAATCAGACAAATTCAAAGTTGAAATCTTTTTGTAATCATGAAATTCTAAGTATCAATTAATACATAAACTTAAACTTGAGAAAAGCAGAACTTCAGAAGGCATTTTATGAATGATACTGGATACAAAATTGCCTATTAATTTTCAAATGAATATAAAATATTACCTGTTCCTGTATCAGGCTGTATCACTGTATGTATCTGTATTGAGCCATTTAATCTTATCTGATCAATTTAGTTATGTCCTAGTGTCAAGTTGTCAACATTCCAATCAAGAATTGAAAATTTTTCTAAACCAAGAACTCTTTTTCTATAGCAATAGGAATATACAGATAGTTTGATAAAAAATTTATGTAATTGTTAATAACTGCTTTGATTTTTAAGTAAACAATGAATTAAACTTTGTTTTATTTCTGTTTCTAAATCTAAGTACTATCTCCTGATTAAAATAAAAGCTTTCACTATCAATGAATAACGTGAACTCTAGAACTATGATCTGTAGCTGTGAAATTTAAATCAAAAAGCTCAAATATACTGTATTGCAATGTGAATTGTAAACAATATTGTAATGATGTTCCTCAGTCAATAATTTATGGTTTAAATAAATTCCTATATGGTTACCTATATGATACAAGGCAATAAATATGGGCAGATGATAAAATTAATTTAGTCAGGATAAATTAGGCAAATAAAATGCTCAGATATGAACAAATTCAGAGCTGATAGGTCAAGATTGTCTCCAATATTTTTGATGGCCTACTAATTGTCTAATTTTTATGCATGATTTTTAATTAAAAATTAATTCAATTTAATGTTTTAACGCATTTAATTATGGCAGAGACAGCAATTGATTGCCAACTAGGAGTCTAGGCCTGAGTTCAATGAATAACATTTATAGTGCATTTTCTCATTTATGGAAAACATGCACTATTGGGCTCACCATGTCCGTCTGACTGTCTGTCTGCCCGTCCGTCTATCTGTGACCTCAAATTTTTGTCAACAAGAAAATGCGCTCTCTGTCACTCACTGCAGTGAGTACTGAGTTATATTTTTTAATCACTTTGTTGTAATTTCAGTTTAGGAATGTCAACAACCTATAACCCTACAATCGCAACTTGGAATTGTAGGGTTAAAAACATGAATTGTTATGCATTAAATATTGCATTGAAAGATTTATTTGTACCAAGGACCTACTGTATTTTGTGCATCTTTACTTGTTGAAATAATAAGGCTAGGCGTTGCATATCTATGATGGACAATTTTTTGCCACAACTATGATTCTGCATAAACAAAATTCTCAAATTAGAACATTACATTACGTATTACATTATATATTATAGATTATTTATTTGTTATGTTCAAACTATTCAAGTTTCTTCAATTTTTAGTATACAATCTTAATAAAATAACAAGAACTTCATGTCATCCTGAATAAAGAACATTCTACTTCACATACTTCTTCTCTTTAGAATCATATATAACTGAACTAATTTTACCAGTGTGGTAGACCATGGCTCAAGAACTTCATGTCATCCTGAATACAGAACATTCTACTTCACATACTTCTTCTCTTTAGAATCATATATAACTGAACTAATTTTACCAGTGTGGTAGACCATGGCTGCATCGCTGAGGAACCTAGCGGGTGTGCGCTTCCTGTGCCTCGTGTCCCACCTCATCCTGCTCATCACTCTGCTCGTAGATATGGTGAGATGCCTCCTCTTGCAATTTAATCCACTTATACTGTGCCTTGTGTCCCACCTCATCCTGCTCATCACTCTGCTCATAGATATGGTGAGATGCCTTCGCTTGCAATTTTAATCCATTTATAAATTTTGCCCATATTTTAATAGGTAATCTTTCGTCCAAAGTAAAATATTTCATTTATGTCTTGTTCATTTATGATAAGATGTGCTTTTTGTTTGCTAAATATGTGCCATTTTTGAAGATTAAATGACTGCTTCTCTTGCAATTTTAATCCACTTATAAATTTTGCTCCTACTTCAGTAGGTAATCTTTTGTCCAAAGTAAAATATTTCATTTATGTCTTGTTCATTTATGATAAGATGTGCTTTTTGTTTGCTAAATATGTGCCATTTTTGAAGATCAATTGACTGCATTGCACCTCAGCTAACAACTGTTTTTGCTGTTCTGTATTTTAGAAGATATTTTGCTTGCTTTGCTGGCTGCAATTATTTCCAATTATTAGATTACTATGAATAATCTTACATTTTATTTATTTAATCAATGATGATAAGATTAATGTTGTTGACTTGTACAGGAAGAAACCATTCATGCCAGTCTGCCCCTCAGACACACCCTGGATGAGAAGCTCTCCATACAAACGCAGTAAGTTCTATTCTATTGATAAACTGATGCATGTAATAAATGTATGAGAATACAGTTACAACTTACAATCCCTGTTGATGAAAAGATGTACTATATACTGTTTTGAATGTATGAGAATACAAGGTTAACTCTAGCCCTTTGAAGTTACAATGCTATCTTTAGCAGCCCTCTCATTGATCAAATATGGTAATGGAGTTTTTTTTACATTCACATAAACATTTTTCTTCTATTGTGAATAAAATCCTGCATATTCGGTCACGTGAATTGTCAGTTGCTTAGTTCAACTTGTTACAAACCTGTTATTTGCATCAAATTTTGGACTCATGTTACTATCAATGTATATTGTTTGATAAAAACTAATTGACTGTTCTATATTAGCCAGTGTCACGGGGCACCATTCAACGCCACCTGACTAATAATATATGTTCAACATGAGTACAGAGATTCGTTGCCTAAGTGCGTGAGGGATAAGTAAGATACCATCTCTCTATAAAACTCATCTCGATAATTGGTGGTTATACATGATAGTCATGTTTATAGTCTACAGAGATACGATACAAGTATAGGCTAAGACGTTGACCATTAAGTCGGAGTAACTCTAACGAGTGTAAGGGTACCCACACAGTGAAAGCAGGTTGCTAGCGTGCTGGTTACCTGCTGAGGCTGGCGCCTGAAATTGAAATAAATAGGCCTGTCGCTGGCCTATTCGTACAGGTTTTCACTGTGAACACTTACATCAATATCCTATGTTCATTCTTGTGGCAGGTTGAAGCAGGTTGCCCGCACGGGCAAACCTGCTTTCACTTTGTGTGTACCCTTACATGGCGGCGTACTTGTTGGTTACTAGGGGGGCTTACTAAGGTTCCCTAGCCTTTTTATAGACTTTTACTTCCGTCCACAAGTTTAGGTCCTCGTGACACATATGCTGTATAAACTGCCGACTCAGCGTCTGAGTCAAGCTCTCAGTGACACCGTGGACTCATAACTAACTAGGTCTGCTGATAAACGTACATAAGCATTTGTATCTACAAACTACTCTCGGACACCAGTAGTACTAATCTACTATACGGTATACAGTATAAAAGTTTTATTGCAGCCCATTAAACAATTGCACTTACAAGCAGTTTATTAACCAGTTTTACTTGTTGCAGTTTGACAGCTGTTTTCTCTGCTGGTGTGGCGATGGCTGCAGTGGAACTTACTGGGCTTCTACTAGGCATCTCTATACTGGCACCAATGACTGCACTTTGCTGTATCCTTTATTGCAGTTACTGTCACGATGTTGCCTTGTGTTGTTACCTCACGCTTCACGTATTGTATTGTATTCGTTGATTGTCTCTAAATTCAAACTCTGCCGCCACCTGTTTACTTTAATTCCTGTCTATTTCATTTACCTTTTGTGTCTATCAATCTCTATCTCTTACGTTTTCTCCTCAGTCAATGCGTAAATGCCGTTACTGTTTCCGTATATAAGTTGTCTTATTTGTCCCTCCACATTTTTAACAATTACCATATATAAATTATACGAGGTTCTCTAATATGTCTATGCTTATTTTTATATCCAACTCTGGCAAAGCTCCTTAGCCTCTACCAGCCGTCCTCTGCCACTCTGTGGCCGTGCTGTGTCTGTTGCAGAGTCTGCTGGACGCCTGGCCTCTGAGTCTGCATGTGTGTCTGCTGCTCTGCTGCTCTTTCCTGCTCTGTAGCCTCCTGCTCTGTAGCCTCCTGCTCTGTAGCCTCCTGCTCTGTAGCCTCCTGCTCTGTAGCCTCCTGCTCTGTAGCCTCCTGACTTCCAACACATGTTGTTCTTTTTGATAACTTTAATATGTGTAATAATAATAATTATCCTGTACACATTGTGAACTATTCAATATATACATTGGAAGCCTAAACGATTGCCTCAACTAGAGAACACTTCTGATTTTGAACAGACATTCGGCAGAAATTTAATTGCTGTTTGTTAATTAAAAAACATAGTGTGTTTTCTTTTGGTTTTAAATGCGACAACTGCGACCGTAACTCGTTTACTTTATTATTAATTATGAATTTCTATGGACATTTTGTACTTCAATTTTGCACTAAATCTTCTTCATAATTTCGAAGTTGTTGACCAAAAAAAATTAGTAGGAAGTAAAAATTAGTAAAAAAAATAGTTAGGTATCATCCTGTACATGGGACTGAATTTTTTATACACCACCTTTGGGACTGAATGTCTCCTGGTGTATAAAAGGAGGAACGTCGCTTGCAATGTTCAATGTTTTGTAATGGGACTGAATGTACATGGGACTGAATGTCTCCTGGTGTATAAAAGGAGGAACTTCGCTTGCAATGTTCAATGTTTTGATCTTCGCACCAAATAGAAGACCCCAATTTCAGCCCAAGCTCCTCTGAAGATGGTTACTACCACCGAGTTCCAGATAACCTGGCTCACGTCTCCGTTTCTGTTCTGGATTATGTGCGAATTTTTTATTCTACTGACGACCCTTTATTTCAATTATTCGGGCCCTCCAACGCCCTCCTCCTCCTAATCTTCAATAAATACTGCAGTGGGCGACACAAATGGACAGTCGTAAAATTCAGAGAATCTCTTTTTTTTTCACTCTTTTATGGATATCCCATGGAAGAAGCATCTAAAAAAATATAACTCAGTACTCCCTGCAGTGAGTGACAGAGAGCGCATTTTCTCGTCGACGAAAACATGAAGTCACGGACGAACAGACAGACGGACGGACGGACATGGCGAGCACAATAGTGCATTTTTTACACAAATGAGAAAATGCGCTAAAAACAAGCGGCAAGCCAAGTGCCCATCGCTCGTACGAAGCTCCTGGCTCGAAGGCAAGATAAGAAAGCGCTGTGTGGGATGCTATAAAATGATTTCCCAGTCAGAAGGATCAAAAGTTTCAGAAATAAAGGACAAAAAGTATCAACATTTTGTGAAGGATGCTCTGGAAAACCATTTTTATATGCTGGTCATGTTTCGGTTCAAAACATCATCACTAATTCGCGGGTATTTTCCTCAAATTAAAACCTTGCAACTGGAAATAATATATATGTTTTATTTGGTACTTGAATGAATTAGTAAAACTCATTTTTTATTATTTCAAACCTTTATTCAATGATACTAACACAACGGTGCTATATATTTCAATAAAACTAATTTTAAGGGCTCTTATCCATATTCGGTATTATTTTAGAAACGTCGCACTTGACACTTAACGTAACGCGGCGTGCTAAAGGGGCACTGGGTACATAGCTAATATTTTCCTGTATGCTTACGCATGTGTGCCTTAAGGTCCTTAGAATATCTAGTGTTAAATGAGCACTGGGCACAATGTCTCCGTATCTTTGATACGCGGTGTGTTTTAATTTGCAGCGTGCATTCGGCGAACGTGCCGCTTAAGATTGTCAGACCACGGAGTGCGATAGGAACACTGGGCACATTGGTAATATTCTCCTGTATGCTTACGCATGTGTTTCGTCAGGCCCTTATGATATATAGTGCTAAATGAACACTGGGTACACTGGTAATATTTTCCTGTATGCTTACGCATGTGTGTCTGCAGGTTGCCTGGATATGTAGTGCTATAAGAACACTGGGTACATTGGTAATTTTTTCCTGTATGCTTACGCATGTGTGTATGCAGGGTGCCTGAAAATCTAGTGCTAAATGAGCACTGGGTACATTGGTAATACATGTATTCTCCTGTGTGCTTGCGTATGTGTTGACGCATGTTAGTTGAAATCTTGCTCTTGTATGGGCAGTGATTACACTGCCAAAAATTATCTGCATTTTTTTGCATGTGCTTATCCGAACCGGAACACGACGCCGACGTGTGCGAAGCCTTCCGCTGTCCCCCTAAGTATCCAGTAAAGCAGTTGCCTGACTGCTGCAGCTCAGGTCCTGAAATGGGAAATACAATAGAATAGAAGTGTCGGCGCTGAAGAAATAGGCCCATGGCCTGTTGCCGATTCTTGTACTTTTCGTGACTTGATTCACAAGGGATCCGGCCTTTGGAACCCGATCTTTCCATAACTGACGATTGATTGAGATAGCTGCTGGACTTATTGCCTGGTCCGTAATAGGCTAGGCAATACATTTAATCGTAAAATTAAAAAGTATCTAAAATTAAATATTAAAAAATAGAAAAAGTATCTAAAGATGTTAGAGGGAAACATCGTTATGACAGTGGAAGAGAATTAACTGATATGCATATATTACACAGTTTTTGTCTGTATATTTGTTAGTATGCATGTTTTTGTTGTTTAGAGTCTGGCACCGTGCGCTAGGATATTTATTTTTGTTATTACATATTTGTACATTCGTATAGGATATATTATAAATATTTATATTTAAATTGATAGAAAATATGAAAAGAAAATTGGAATTCCCATCAAAATTGCAAGACAAAATAGGATATTGGTTAGCACAAAAATCAAAATTCCCATTATTAGCATTCCGTTAATTCATAAGTTATTATGATAGCTAGGAAAACGATTGAATGTTGGATTCTCAAATGATAAGTAACCGCAGTAATTGTAAGTAACCACAGTAAATGATAAGTAACAGCAGTAACCGCAGTAATTGTCCAATAATATGAGTAACCAGTAACTAAGGTAGCTAGTAACAACGCTGACTAGTGTAACTAGCCACTCACCAGCAGAAGTTGTCGCTTGTTTCTGCTGTTGTTGGTGCTGCTGGGGCATGGGTGGCAGGCCAAGCTCACGGCCATACGTGTCGCCGTACCACACCATCAGTTCAGACCCCCTGTAATATAGGTAAAGACAAGTTATTTCAGACCCCCTGTAATATAGGTAAATACAAGTTATTTCAGACCCCCTGTAATATAGGTAAATACAAGTTATTTCAGACCCCTGTAATGTAGGTAAAGACAAGTTATTTCAGACCCCTGCAATGTAGGTAAAGACAAGTTATTTCAGACCCCTGCAATGTAGGTAAAGACAAGTTATTTCAGACCCCTGCAATGTAGGTAAAGACCAGCCATCAGTTTAGACCCCTGCAATGTAGGTAAATACCAGCCATCAGTTCAGACCCCTGCAATGTAGGTAAATACCAGCCATCAGTTTAGACGCCTACATTGCAAGTCCACATCAGGCGCGCCAAAATCAATCGCTACAGCAGTGTTAGGTGGTAATAAACTCAATAAAATATTCACAATTCCTTAACGTGTCTAAAAATTCTTCCAAAATTTTAATGATGCTCAACTGAAATAAATTTTTGATCACGAATGACGTGAATCTTTCAACTGAGTGATACATGCTTGTAGCGTCACCGTCTGAAACTACCAAATTGTTTGGTTATTTCATGAACGTAAATGTGGCCAAGATTCAGCGGAGAAATAATGCAGTTCGCGCATCTTATATAGCGGTTTCAGCGTTTATTAGGTCGTAGGCCTGTCGCCGATTCTTAACATCGCAGAACATTCACAGCTTGTTGCGGTCTCGAACTCGCAACTCACTGCTACAATTCTGCTGTGCTTGACCGCCCGGCCTCCTCGCCGATTCTGACCAGAAACTGGCGCACAGAGCTGGGATCGAACCCGCGCCTCCCTGCGCCAATCCTGGGCCAATACTTTCAAAAAAGTTAAGAGATCGTAAGTTCATCAGCCAATCATTGACGGGCTTTCAAGCAAAATCCACCAGGCATAGACAAGAAAATATAACGTAAGTACTTACGTTCACTTAGCGCGATTTGAAAGTATCGCCCCTGGTACTCTGAACTGTAACCACTGGGCCTCCATCAATATACTCGATACTCAATGATGAAATACTCTACATACGTACACTCATCAATAAATAATATTGTGAACATAATACCAAGGCACTTCACGCACCTCTGTATAGGCCTGACGCTGCGGTAGTAGATCTGCATGTGGTACTGGAAGGCGACCAGGTTCACCTCGGCCGCACTCCTGGGGCAGTTGACGAACCGCATCCAGTTGCTGAGGGTCTCATCAGCCCCATCCACACACAGGTTCTTGTCGTGAGAGGTTCTAATTTGCCAGCCATAGCCCGACTCAGAACTGTCCACGGTCTTGGTGGCCACCGAGCCCTGGTAGGGCCCGAACACTAGGCAGCAGGGCAGGTCTGCGTCCGTGAAGACACCGAAGCCTGCACCGGCGATGGTCGAGTAGCGGACAACAAGCGGCCACGGGGCGGACTGCCGAGCGCGGCCTGGGGCGATGCGTGGCACCTGAGAGCCGGATGGTCATGGTTATTACTGGCCATGAGGCATGATTATGTCTACTGGCCATGAGGCATGATTATGTCTACTGGCCATGAGGCATGATTATGTCTACTGGCCATAAGCCATGATTATGTATTTTAATCATAAGCCATGAACATGGATGGCTAATTTACACTCTCTACAGCGCCACAATTTAAATGCCATAACTGGCAACATGTTGACACCATTTCAACTAATATCATGTACATGGTTGATTGTCTTAACTAAATATATCTATAATATTTCCATTTCCTAAACAAATATTGATTAATTAACGTGAGAAGAGTACATCCTATTTTGGTAAGCGCTGTAACAGACTTGAAAATTTGAATACGATCAATCTTGTTCTCACTCCGGCTTTTAATCGATTGAAAATTGTGGATTTCATTTAGTTTATGATCGAGTTTTACTTTCTTAAATGTTTTTTTATTGGTAAGGACGCTTTTGCTATGTACAATCTGAAGTCTACAATCTATAGAAGTCTGTAATCAATAGATTCTATAGAATCTATATATCTGAAGTCTATAATCTATTGAATCTATAGTTCACACAATAAAATACGCTGGTGGTTGTCCTACTCACAGGATGGTCCAGCAGCAGCACTGAGCGGTGGTGCGGACAGTGGCCCAAGTGTTCGCGCTGACAGTGTTCACAGTCTGCGGGACAAACAGAGTGAATTTATGTTATTTATGTTAATACACGAGTTTATATTTATTATATTAATATTTATTTATGTTAATACTCGAGTTATGTTGTCTTCCCAGCTCTAATTATACTGTTAGAAAAAACGGTGAAAAAACGGTCCCACTGGCGTTCTAGTGGCCGGTCGCCCCGTGAAAATAAACTGTTTCGCCGTTTTTATCAGATGTTTTACGGATTTCTAGTGTTAAATTAGAATTAAAACGGCAACACGGTGTTTCTTTTCACGTGCCGACCGGCCACTGAAACGCCGGTAATACCGTTAACGCCGGTAATACCGTCAACGGGAATTTTTCTAACAGTGTACTGCCCAAATAGTGACACCCGCACAAGGGCTATAGTAGTGCATCAAATTTGGGACAAAGCCTAACATATATCTCTGAGTGTTGGCCCCTTGTCCTAACAATCAACAGCGTAAATAAGATAAGGTATTGTTGATAGCAAAGCGCAAGTGTTAGAGTTTCATCGAAAATTGGCTGGCGATAAAGAGATAACATTTACGCAAAGAGATAACATATTTTACAGAGATAGCACCCATACAGAGATAGCACCCCATACAGAGATAGCACCTCATACAGAGAT